CGTGACACTTTTCGGGAACTCGCCACTAGAGGGCACGACTTAATATAGAAGGACCTCAAATTTAAATCCTCTCAGCTTGATTCCAGCCCTTCTCGGCAAAATAAGATATATTGCATATTGTGCAACACCAAACGTGTCGACCCAGGACGTTCATGTGATGTTCTGATCGCCGCTTAATTGAGTAGATGCGCTGTCATGATTCGAGATAAGGACAAATATGACACACCAGACTTTCTCGTCCCATATGCAAAAGTTCAAGGCTTAAAATCCAAAATGAAAATACTGTATCTTACGTGGTTTCCACCTGCATGGGCGCGGGCATGATTTTGTGCCCTGGTGTTAGTGGGTGCATTTGTTTTCGATCTGCATCCTAACGAGTATAAGACGGGAAAAATCTTCTAATAACATCATGGGTCAGGTATTCCGACTCGTGGCCAGACAATATCTTTACAATGAATTAGTAGTGCAGAGTTGTTGGAGCAAGATAGTTGGATTATATGTTGATTATATCTGATAACTATATGTGTCCCGGAGAAGGCCTATAAAATTACAATGGGAGAAAGATACTGGAGCAAGTTTTTAATTATGGATGACGAAGCCTAAAAAAATTTAACCAACGATTAGGAAATATGTGGCCGCTATACTTTGTGAACTTTAGAAGCCACGACCCATGCCTTCATTTTTTATACAATATTTTTTTTAGATTCAACATGGGCTGGAATGAGCTTTTATGGATGTCGCTCCGTATATGAAATAAAACCATTTCCGCATTATGTCGCATCCACATCCGAGTACGTCTGAACATTATCCCGACGCACCCAGAATTCCACGATGATACATTGGATCAGATCGTATTCCATACTGTAAATATTGCAATGATGTCAAAAATTACAGGCAACTTACATTGTTGTTAATGTTATTAACTTCACAACTGCACCGGGTCCAGTGAATAAAGCCACAAGTTAAAACAATCAAGTTTGTCGAAAGGTCAAAATTACGGTACATGATTCAACGGGCATCGAGCTACGAACACCGAGTGACGAAAACATCGATTTACCAAAAGACCACGTCTGTATTTTAGAAACCACACCCACTTTTGCAAAACCACGTCCGATTTGTAACTCGATGTGTTATGAGTGGGAGTACAATCGTTCAGATATTGAACGACTCGAGATCGAATTCCTGGTAGACCAAGGGAGAAGGTAATAGTAGTTTATAAATAAATAAACGATGCTCGGACTGATAAATATGATATATAGAAGATAATATTT